AAAAGGAGGAGTGGGCGCAAAGTCTAATATTAATTCTGCAATTAATTTCAGATTATATTAAATATTAGAAGTATAAATGGTTGACATTACATATAGTTGCAGTAGTAATATTTCTGAGAATCTTTTTAAGGTCTGCATAATAGTATTCATTTTATAGATTGCTTTTCATATTTTACATTACTCTTTAAAAAGGGAAATGCACGTAAAAGAATTTATGCTAGAGAAGCCATGTATTGATCTTTCTCAAAAGCTAAAGCTAGTAACATATTTTTCTTAAAATATAATTACATGCATACTTTTTTGACTTGCCATGTTTTGAACCTAGGCATTTTCTGATTAACAATATTCCCTCGAAAAGTCAGCAATGAGTAGTGTCAGCTTTATGAACTGGAGATTGTTTGTCTGGTAATTTTGACACTCGTCATAAACACAATTCCATTAAAAAAATACAAGAAACACGAAATTTTATGAGAAAGCAGAAAGATCTATATGGCCGATATTTATATTTTTACTGGCAGATGATGTTTAACAAAATGAAGGTTAAATGTAAAGTAGATAAATCCACATGCAGTGGACTTATGCGCTTTATGTTTAGCGGTCACTAAAACATATGCTTAGCATATGTATGCATGAGTTCACTGATGTCAAGAACATGTGTCAAAAACATGGCATTTCTGCTGAATGTTAAAACCAGGGAGAGATGAAAGTACTGAAACCTCATATGGCGATCCTCTATCATAGATGACCTAATCTGAACATGGCCAGTAATTCTAAGAACACAACTGAAAAGCAGTACCAAGTATATACAGTCAAAAGTCGTTAATCCGGACTCGTCGGGACTTCGGCGATTCCCAATTATCGATTTTTCCGGATTATAGATCATCAGTTTAAATCTCGTAAGATGACATGCAGAAATTCTAAAATTAAAAATATGAAACCTTAATTTATGAAGTAAAGAACAATTATAATCTAAACGGTATAAAAATTTACAAAAAAAAAAAAAGCTTAATATTTATTTGTTTACTTTATTAAACATTTCTTTCAATGTAAGTTGTTTTAAGTTGCTTCGTTTTATGTGATAATACTTTCTCTTTAATTCTATAAACAGACACAATTTCTTGTTTGGTTACAAAGTTCCGCTGTTCAAGTCCCATTAATTGTTGTGCCGAGAATACCGACTAACTTGTCAATCGAAATTTTTTCGTTTTCACTAACCTCTCTGTCACATTCTTCATGTCTTTATCCATTTTTTGCAGCAATTTCACTTTTTGTTTGATGGACATCGAAACATACTTTCGTTTTGTACGATCCTTTGGAAGCTCCAGAATCGGAAATTCTATTTGACATAATCGAAAGTTCAAGTTTACTTTTATAAAATTGCTCTTACAGTCTGCAAAAAATAATAAGCCGAATCCAATTCGAAGATTAAGGAACAACGCAATCATCAACATTAACTGAAATAGATAATTAGATAATTTTAGCTTAGCTTATCCCGTCCGTTATACATTAAATGCGCATTCGTAAACGTATTTTGCGCATGCGCACACGCAAATTCGCAGCGGTAAAGGTCTTACGCGCATGCGTTAACGCGACGCATGCGCAGAAAGTTTGTAGCTTTGATGTCCGGATTATAGATCATTCTGGATTATGGGTGTCCGAATTAACGACTTTTGACTGTATATTAGATTTATATATAGCTTAGTTCTGATATAGGTATTTTGACACAAAATTGGACTTTTTCTGAAATAACATGCCAATTTTTTCCATATTTCAATTCTACGACTCAAATTATGCCTTAATATTAAACTTTGTAAAATTTGGTGTGAATTTTATGAAAAAATTCAAAAATTTATCTTGCCATATTTTTTTCAGTTTGCACCAAGAATTGTTCCAGTTCACTTGAAGAACTTCTTAATTTATGGCAACATATTTTCCTTTCCATCTTTACATTGTGCACGAGAGGAAAAAAAGTAACATCGTTCCTACTTTCAAATAATTTTAGCAAAGTAAGTAAGCCAGATTAGACATTATTATCGATTTCAACAAATATGCCAAATTTCAAAACGTGCCAATATATAAATTCACATATATTTTCAGAAATTTTGAATAAAAAGCTCTAATATTTTGCAGGTATGCTTAAAACATCTACTTAAAGATGATGGTAAAAATTTTATAGGTTGTAATTCAAAATTTTTTTCAAAAAATTTATAAAAATTATTTTAAAATTTTAAAAATAAATCATAAAAATGAGTTAATTTTATTTGGAATGAACCTAAATTTCTAACTGTGAAAGAAAACATCAAATAAGTGTAATAAAAGAAAGATATTAATAAATACATACCAAATTGCATTAACATTGAGGAGCTAAAATTTTGAGAGTTAATTTTTTAAAAACTACTCGTGCGATTTTCACAAAGCTTGGCATAATTTGGGTCATAGAATCGACATATGGAAAAAAATCGGAATGTTAGTTAAAAAAAAAGCCCAATTTTTGTGTAAAAATACTTATGTTAGAACAATGCTATATGTGAATGTACTACGTATCCTAAATTGCGCTTTTGGGACATGAAAAATGCAATTTGAATTTCATTAATCAGCCCAGTAGAATGGGAGATGTAGAAACTGCCCCCCCTTTTTTTAAAAATTTTTTTATGCAGTGTATATCTTTTAACTAGGTATAGTATTTTTCTGCATTAACAATTTCATCACATTTTGAAAAAAAATATATGCTGTGTATCATCAAATAATCCCTACCATTTTTCTTAGATGAAGATTATTTTGAGTTCATATTTGGGTATTTACAGCATTTAGCCACTGAGTAGCTTGCCAACAATTATCATATAAAACCCATTTTTCATTACATGTAGTTATTCCAAACAATAATATATTTTGATGATTTAATTAAAAAAGTCCAAATTTGCTAAGAATATGTTAGATCTTTTTCAATAAATTTGCTTACCGGGAAAGCTTCTCAGATTTTCTAAGGCTTGATGAGAAACTGTCTAATAGTATATCCTTAATCTTCTTTGGTTTGCTTCTCAGGAAAAAAGCTATGAAAAAGAATACTTCTCTTTCTAAGCATATTAAAAAACATGTATTGTATATTATGTATATGTATTATATATTATGTAGTATATACACATATCACTGTATTGCATATTTCAAAGATGTTGGCTACTATCTCGAATACTATCATTTTAAATTTTATACCATACATTGCTACCTATTCCTTGGATTACGTGGACAAACACGATTTCTTATTTAGCCACATTTTTTTAAATATGGAAGTCCTTATTATGATCATTAACAGCAAAATTATAAAGGTCAAAGGCTGAAGAAAAAGAACAAATCTATCAGTTAATCTTTGGAATATGGTAACAGGTAGTTTGGCAACATTTTGGTAAGGCGATAAAGGTTACTAGTTAGGACTTTAGCAGTGTACATGGATACAGTCAAGAGTGTGCGCAATACCATTTTTGTGCAATTCTGGGATGTTTTTTTAAGTGAAAATAGGTCGACGTGTACATGGATGATACCGTGTATGTGCAATTCTTAAAAACGCGGCAAGCAGTGGGCGATTCTGCACTTTCTCACCTAAGCTTCATCATGATTAAGCACTTTTGTTCCATAAAAGTTCTAGCATAAGTGTAATTCGGCTAGCAGATTGTTGGAAAAAAATTTTGAGTAAAAAAAAAAAAAAGAATGCCTTCGTGAAAACAAAATGGCATTTGTTTAACAAACTAGCAGGTTGCTGTAGCAGGGTTGGTCGCCAAATTTTCGCCAAAAAATCCCCAAGTTACCGTAATCCAAAGATTAACCAATCCATCTTCTAGATTCAGGAAGGAAGATTAAAATTATCGTGACTAATTCAAAAGCTACTAAATTATAATGCTGAAATGTGTGTAGAGAAATAAGTAAGAGGTAGGAAATATGTGAGTAAATATGATATACTTTCTAAACAGTCCCCCTTCACTAGATCAAATATAAAGCATAAAAAAATTACACAAAGTTTCCAATATAACCACTTTGGCTAAAATAGATTACAATATACGATAAAATTCTATATATGGTGCAGCCTTGGCGCGATTTTGAAAATTATCCCCAATATCAAAATAACCCGTTTAACTACTCATTGTGTATGTCCCGTTTACTGCTCATCATAAAGTCGCCAAATGCCTTGTGCACCATATACTAGGATTAAACCCAATATAATAAATAAATTATAGCATAAGTAGAACATTAAAACGTACATTTGCAGAATTGCTGATTCAAGAAAATCTAGTCCAGATTGTTTGAATATATATTGCTCTATGTTGCTAATGCACCAAAACATCAACCACCATAAAACATTAAAAAACAACCAGAAAATAGACTTAGTAAAAAGTACATAAAATTGCAGATTTATGCTTCTGGCATATTATCAACACAATAATTATAACAAATAAGAATCAAATGATACGACAGATTTGAATGACGTCAAGAAAGTTAATTTTATTAAGGGTATTTTTTGCCTATGATAATGATGGTAGGCATCTTTCCTTGTCTTTTATGCATTTCTATAAAAAAAGAATTAATTACAATTCATTGTCATTTACATTTTACTTAAAATTTGGCAAAATATTACTTAGTACTTTCTGTTTGTACATAAATAATGAAATGTGAGTATATTAGTATAAAACAACCACAATGAGTCAAACAGGAGACTTCAAACTAGATTTGGCTACAAATAAATTTAATTAATGAATCTAAAATTCATTATTTAACTCTATAAATTAAAAGAATAAGAAAATATTTTATCTTTCCCATAACTTCAATTGCTGTCGAAATTTTCAAAGCAGCAAAATTAATTTTTAAAACTCCTATTAATACAAATAACCTGATGTAGTTCTATTTCTGCATTAAATTCATCATTACTGAACTGAGAATATTTTACAACACAAGCATTTTCACAACTGTCTTCTTAAATATAAATATCTTAATTATATTTAGTAACCTGGTTTTCAGAAAACATTGCCTTCCGTGACTTGTAGCTTGGCTTTGTTTTCATGAATTTTGACATGTCTATTGAAGCTACTTTTATATCCAAAACATTTCCCACAACTATCGCAAATATATGGCTTGTTATCCACATGAATAACACAGTGCTCTCTGAGTCTATGAAGTCGAGAAAAGCCTTTATTACAAACATCACACACATAAGTTTCAAGTTTAATTCCTTCATGCCTACGTAAGTGATGTTCTTTTAAACTGGCCCTTCGGTAGAAACTTTTCTTACATAAATCACAAACATACGGTTTCTCCTCCATATGAGAGCGAAGATGGCGGGATAAATCCCCTTGTTGGGTATAGCATTTGCCGCAAATATCACAAGAAAATGGCTTCTCACCGGTATGAGATCTTAAATGAATATTAACAGCATACTGAGTAGCGAACTCTTTTTCACAAATACAGCAGTAATAGGACTTCTCTCCCGTGTGTATTTTATAATGCATTTCTAATGCATTAATTTTCAAAAAACTGTTTTCACAGAGGCAGCACAAATATGGTTTATGATTTGCATGAATTCGCCAGTGGTTTTTAAGCTTTTTGCCAAAAAGATGTGAATTACATATTCTACAAGTGAAATACTTTTCATTTAACTCGCACATTATTAATATCTTTCTTACGCAGTTATATCTTTCAGCATTCACACAGCACTATGACTGAAGTGCTGGAAAAAATAAAAAAAAAAAATTACTAAATCCTTAGAATAAAACAGCAAAACATTTTGGTTCCACAAACATTCAGGGAATATGAACAGACTTATCATATAGAGAATATTTCTTGTTATGCACACCTAAAATTTCAGTAGCCAGTAAATCATATCTTCCGTTTCATTAAAGATAAAAACCAAGAACAAAAACTAAAAACAGTAGTTTTAGTTAGTTCGAATTTATTTGCCAGTATGTTTACATGACACATTTCATTACTTGTCAAAAGATATAACAAAATATTTCGGCTGACGGCTACGGCTTTCTGCCCGTAGAGCGAGCTCTTCCTTTTACACACACACACACACACACAGATCGTATTATTATTATTATTATTATTATTATTATTTTTATTCTCGAGTGTCAAGATGTAGAAACATCTTTTTACCCGATTTCTGATAAGGATCGGGTGGGGGGAGAAAAGAGTAGGGTGAAAGGAGTGTGGGAGCGGATGAAAGAGAGTGTTCTTCTTTTCTGACACTGTTGCGTTTCTCTTCTTCTTTCACGTTCGTACGGGTTCGTAGATTTGGGGGTCTAGTCTGGTAGTATTACTATATCTATGGTCTGGACCGACACTCGGTGGTGTCGTCTGGACACCGGTCGAGATCGATATCGGAAAACCAGTCGGGATTCTCTTTCCACTCGACAGCAGAAGGGAGAGCGAGCCTGGCCCAAGGTCCGTGGACCTTGAGTCTGGCCCCTTCAAATTCCGTCGGCGGAAAGTGAAATGGAAATTCCGTGCGGAAGTGACGTTTATTGCATAGTAACCAGTCTATCTCACCTGTACATTGCTCCAGGCTCAGGGAAAGGGGGTCGTTTGTTGTCAAAGGGGCTGTTTCGCACGTGCTTATTACTGAGGGTGGCGGATAGCAAAAGAAAAAAAAAAAAGCAACGAGTTCCGAGTAAATGGTGAAATTTTCGAAAAAATCCGCTGCTGTTACGCTGCTGATAGCACATTTTAGTAAAGAGTATAGAAAAAAAGAAATAGGGAATTTTTAATGGATATTTTAAAACGCAGAAAGAAATGGCCTTTTCAAAACTTCAGGTATGTGAAGAAACGTAAACATAATTTTATGTATGATCTTTTGCAAAATAGAAATTTTCTAAAAGGTTACATGTTTGTAAACTATTTGTTAACAGAAATTTTTAATTAAAATACATTATTTTGTCTGAAAAGGTTATGCAATAACGTCATAAGTGAAATCACTGAAATATAGCACCGCGTACTCATGTTTAATATTCCTAATGAATTTGAATAAAAAAATTAATTTTTAGCAACCCATGATTATATCAATAATTTTATTTATTCAGGAATTATACCTATCACGTAGCTACTGTATATCGTAGATACCAATAAGCAGTGAGTAAAAATATAACAAACTTTTAACAAAAGTAATAGGAAGAAAAATTAAATAACTATAGGTTAAATCATAAAACATATTATCTTGCTCACACACACACACATATATATATTTTAACATATGCAGTGAAAGGAAATTGCAATACATATTCCTATTTATACCCTTTTTAAATCGATCCCACCAGTGACCGTGTGGTAAAATTGCTGAGCACTGGTAGTTCGGTCCGAGGTCCAAATACTGCGAACGGGTTTGTTGCATTACCAACATATCTCTGATAACCAATATATCTGTCATTACCAACATATTTCTCGTAATTTCCAAAATCATAAAAAATTAAGGCATACAAAACCTGTTTTAAATAAATAACTGTATGTATATATAAATGTATTATTAATATATGCAGTGAAAGGAAATTGCAGAACATATTCCTATTTATGCAATATCAAAGGACCTTAAGCAACTTGCTCACTAACCACCATGAAATAGATAAAACAGCAGAATGACATTGTAAGATACCAATTTACAGCAATTACATAGATTCTCATCACCAGCACATAATTACTGGCAACCTGAATATCATACAAAACCATCAACTAAAAGCACTAGTGAGTTATGGTACAAAATTTAGACTAGTCAGAAACATGACTAAAAATTACTGTTACAAGACTTTCGAAAACAACATCAACGAATTTATAGTTAAAGCAAGCTATCAACTGAATTTACCAATAGATACATTCTTAAAATGGAAAGCTAAAATTCTTCAACGCATATCCACCGAAATCAGTCACCTCAAGTTTAAAAGGACACTGAATTGGTCGCAACTTACATCAGATATTAAAAAATTAAAACAGCTTTTTACTGTTACAAAAATAGATAAAGCAACTAATAACTTTAGCATTATATGAAAACAATTCTACGCAGAAATTATTCATAAAGAACTTCTCAACGCAACTACTTATCAATTAGCCAACCTTACAGAAACATCTATAATAAACAGGATTAAAACTGTTCATAAGAAACTCAATATTACTTTCAATGCAAACTACAACAGATTTACTAATCTTTATGCGATTCCCAAATTCCATGAAACACCATTAAAATTCAGATTTATAGCTAATGGAACTAATAATTACAAGAAAAATGTAGACTATTATTTTTCAAACTTAATAAAATCTGAAAAATTTATTTTCAATGACTGTAACACTAATCATAACTATTGCTGGATCATCCATAATAACACTCCTGTCATTAATACCATTCAAACAATTAACATCCAAAACATTAACTACTATGACTTTGAAAACTTATATACCTCACTTCCTCTAGAAGAAATCTATACCAGTCTACTTGATCTGCCAAAACTCTTCCCTGATATACTCAATATCATGACTCTTGACAAATGGAAAACCTACCTAAAATGCACACTTTTTCATAACTACATCAAGTTTCAAAATCAACTTTTTAAACAAGTCAGAGGATTGCCAATGGGCTTACATTCCAGTTCCTCGATCTGTAATATCTTTTTATTTGTCAAAGAATTTAACTTCCAAAAAAATCTACAACCACAAGAGTTAAATTACTACAAACACACCTACAGATATATTGATGACCTTATTAGAATTAATAATTTTGGTAAAATTGAACACTCCGAGATTTATCCGAATTGTCTTACACTTAATAAAACTAATAATTCACAAAATAGCATAGACTTTCTAGATCTTCAAATCATTAACTGCAAAAAAATTTTACTTTTTGACAAAACAAGAAACTTTAATTTCAATACTAACAAATTAATAAATTGGAACTCCAACATATCCAAAAAAGTAATTAACAATACAATAATTAATCAAATATAACGAATTAAAATTATATGCAGATACAATAGATTTACAACGCGAAATTTTGCTCCTTATTAAAATTCTCAAAAATAATCTAATCCCCATTCAATTTATCAACCATTGCCTTAAAAGAGCAGGCGTTAAATACTCACTCTAAATCATTCAACTAATAGGGATATGATAATTTATTCCTAAACCTGAGAAGGCGGTATAAGTTGGATGACTATCAGTTGAAGGATTTGTATATAGTGTAATTATTCAGTTGTATATATTGTAAAAAGCTAATTGTCTTCAGACTTATGCTGTTACTAAACAAATGGGCCTATTTCATGACTTTAGTCTGTCTAATAGCTCTTGGACAGTGAAAATTCGTTTTTTCCTTTCTTAAATTCTTAATCATTGCGACACGACAATTAGCCAGAAATTAATTATTTTCCATTCACTAGTATTTAAAAAAAATCTTAACAGACAGTTTCACTCAAATAAGAACTCCACATAATACATCCCTCAAGAATTCCGATTCCCACCCACAACTATAAATTACTTCACCCAAGTCTTACAGACTGATTTTGTTCAAAGCCCCCACTGCCGCTAAGAATTTTCGGACACCCTACACTTATGAGTTAGACACGAAGAAAACACTTTGTCAACTCCCCGCTAGAAAGAATGTAAGTTACTTAATACCTTTTCTGGCCTTTATATCTTCATGTACATTCACTGTTCTTATTATATTTTTTATATTATTTTTTATTTGTTTTTACAAAGTTTTCATTATTTATCTTATTTTGTAATCTTCTATGTTTATTTCAACTTTACTTTGAATTCTATTTCATAATGACAATTTCCAATATTTAATTTTTACAAATTATATGGAACTCAAATGCATAAACATGAAGGTGTCGGGGACGGTTACTCGAATTTTTTCGGATTTCTCTACAGAAATTGCTTTTTACTCTAAATTGAATTGACTAAAATGCTTCATAAGAATAAGTTCTTTGAGTATCAGGATTGGTTCGTTTTCCCTTCTATTCGCGGAAATATTTGGCCTGACTAGAATTTCTAGCTTGGCTTTACCTTATAACTCGAGTAAAGACGAAACACCTTCGTATTTAAGTATTTTTATCAATTATTGTTCATTGAACGGGAGTTGGTTTGTTCCCCTTGAAAAGTCAACTAATTTCCGATCAATGACAATGATTACATGTTTTTAATTTTTGCTTTTACAATTGAAATTTTTTTCATGATGATTTAACTCCAGTCCCCGTTAAAACATTCTTAACATTTTGCTTTCAAATTACTTCAAAATATCTTTCAAAATAAAACTCACCAGTATGAATTCACTCTTTTAAAATAATTCTACTTTAATTAAACTTAGGAGATAATATAATCAATTAATCAATATTTAGAAAATAAATTATTATATATATATATGATGTATCAGCTTTAATCGTAGCTTAAATAATCAGACGATAAGTTTAAAAAACAGGATCCATTTATTATTATTCAAGAGAAATAGCAGTTACAAAAATCATATCCGGAGTAA